TTGAGGGACTTAAAAGAGGAAAATTTGGATAAGGATGGCTTATTTCTTTTTTCTTCTTTCTTCTTCTTCAGCCCGATTCTGCTCATCTCTTCCCTGTTGCAGCCACTCGAAAGAAGAAAAAAAAAAAAGGGAACCCAGCCATGCCTTGGAAAACCGGTGAGAAAGCTTTGTTTTTGGCCTTCTTTTCTTGCTCTAGAACACAAATTGAACCCAGAAATTCTCCCCCCTGCTAGGTCCGCTTTGCAGCTGGAAATTGGGGTATGTGGCAGCCTCTCTAAGTCCCAATTTACCCCTTTAATTGCTGAATTTTGTTCATTTATTTGCTACCCCATTGTTGTCCGAAAATCTGCTGGAGAAATGGGGGAATTTCGATAGCTTTAAGTGGGTTTTTGGTTTAAATTAAGTGTAAATTGCTTGAGTTGATTGCTGTGATTTATTTGGAGAAAAATCCCGTGAATTAGCTAGTGTTTTGGCCAATTTTTGGAAGTGCAGTTACTGTTCACGGCACTGTTCACGGGTATTGTTTATGGGCATTGTTCACACACCGAGGGTCAACAATTAGCGGGGATTTAAATGTTTAGTTTGTGATATAAGAATAAATTTGGAGATATCTGATCATGTGGAGATTGATAGAAATAGCATCGTGATTAGGGGTGATCCTAGTGAAGTTTCACCTTGAATTTGTGATAGTATGGGATTAATTCTGGGGTATTTTGATTAGGTTCTTGATCGTTCTATCAGTTAGCACTGAGATCGAGTCTTCGGTTTTATGCAATTTAAGGTAAGTAAATTTATGGTAATGCCCATACAGTTTTTAAAAGCATGTTTTGATTTGTTTTTGAAGTGGTGGCGGAACTAAACCCGTTTTACACAAGTATGATGGATTTGAAGTGAAATTTTTAAACTTTTCATTAAATTGAGCATGCCTACTTGAAATTTAATTGATTATCCTGATGATTTGAAAGTGATTGGTGAATTATAATTTTTCTGTGAATTTCTGCCTGTTTTATTTCCGATGTGGTCATGTTATTAGTGACCCTGCTAGTGGGGGTTAAATGCTAGCACATGTGGACATGTTTACTTATATGACAGGTAAATTCTGACGCTTGCCAATGGGCGAATACATTGGTAAATTCTGGCGCCTGCTAGTGGGTTGTTATAACACCGGCCATGACCTATAGAGAAGACGTCTATTTCGTTTCCGTACCTGTATCTATTTTTCATGATTATACTTGTTAGCATGCTTTAAGTTTAATAAGGGGCACTCCATATTTACTTACTGAGATATTTTATCTCATAGTTTTTCCTTGTCCACCATTTCAGGAAGCGAAATCGAGGACAGGGAAACCACGGGAAGTAACGAGTTAGAAGGCTAGCCATTTCAAGATTTGATATAGATTTTAGAAATAAATCATGATCGTGTAAACTCGACTTTATTGGAGATTTATGATATTAGAGTAAATTATAAAATTTGATCTTCAGATTTTGATGGTATCAGATTGTGAATTGGATAAGTTTCGAGCCTTGTGCATTTGTGGGACCCTCTCACGAGTGCACGACGTCTGTCGCGCCTCGAATTCGGGTTTTGGTGCATGACAAATAATATCCTTTCAAATTTTAGACATCCTTAACTCTCTATTGCAATAATATCCACCTCCCTCCTGGCCCCATAGTATTTATCCCACACCACCCACTTCCATAAACTCTCCACACCATCACCAAACCTAAACCACCACTTTCCTAATAATACCCAATTCCTCTTCCATAAATCTGGTACCCCTAGACCACCCTTCACCTTACTACAACAAACATAATCCCATTTAATCCAAGAAAATTTCCTCTTCAACTTAGCCCCACCCCACAAAAAACCCCCATTGAATTTTAATCAACTCAAATACTACAAAATCTAGTAATAAAAATAATGACATATTAAAAAAAAAAAGGTAAACTAGAAAGCACCGAATTGAGTAAAGTGATGTGACAGCCAAAAGAAAATCACGTTGCTGAATGTTATTAGCCCCCCTAATCAACAACATATTCCATGATGCTGATGAATATTTAAATTTCAAAAAGTTAGAACTCACTAATGTGAACTATATTGCCAACACTAAATGGTAGATTTTTAGTTGTTAAAATACCTAAATTGGTCCTTCAACTTTAATTTTTAGACCAACTTCATCCCAAACTTTAAAAATTACCAAAATTATTAGACCAACTTCATCCCAAACTTTAAAAATTACTGAAATTATCCTTAAATTTTATTTTCCCGTTTCGATGAAAGTGCCCATGTGGTCCGGTAAGTCGCCACGTTTTTACTTTTTTAAATTTTAAAAAATCATGTGGAAAAAGAAACGATGATTTGGTAATTTTCATACATTAAAAATTAAAATCAAGCTATTGGTCCCTCTTATTCCATCCTTGGTAGCAATTTTATTAATGATTTTAATAAAAATAAAATATAAAATTACAATATATGAATTGAATTGAGAGAGTAAGGGACAAATAGCAAAGATTGGAAAGCAAGAAAGAGGTATATATAAACAGATGCATATCATAATGATGGTCCTGTAATCGAAAGTTAGGTGGAGTGGCCAAGCAATGTAAAATAGCAACATGAAAAGAGGCAAACTAAATCTATACAAACTAAATCTTTTTTATGGCTTAAAAATAAAGAGACAAGTTGCATGCTCTCTTATTAAGATTGAATATCAAGGCCTATGGATTGTAGGGAAGCCATTGTTCAACATCATAAAAATTTGAAAAGTTGTAAGATGTTGAAAGGAGGTATGGGTTGATTTTATTTTACTTTATTTTTTGAGATATATTGAGCAATATTGTAATAGTTCATGTGCTTGTAGTGATTGCGTTTGAACCTTAGTTTTTGGATTGTATTTTGTTTTGGAGTATTCTTTATACTCCTAAATAATATATTTTCCTTTTGGTTTTGTTAAAAAAAAAAAAAGTAAAACAACAATGTAAGTCACATCAGTAATTTATGGGCTTTAGCAACGTGTTTGACATTGTTAAATTTTTTGTCGGCTGGAAAATTTTAACAAGGTATAACATGTTGTTAACTTTTGTTTTAGCAACATATTTCTAGTTGCTGATTCTATGGCCCACTTATAAATGCAATGTAATACTTTGCGTAAATTACTAATATATCTCACGTTGGTAAATCTTACTATCACCAACAAACCAAATTATATTGCTGATTATTACTTGCTAAAATCCAACATTTTAATAGTGATATTAGCATTATTGGCTAAAACCAGTTTCCTAATAATTTATTAAGAGTATTCAAATAATTTTATGAGTATTACTTTTTTGTTAAGGACAATGATGTGGATACCCAATGGGCAACACCCAAATCCACACTCATCTGACCAGTAGAAGTAAAATGGCAAATTTACCCTCCTCACAGCAAAACTCAATCAAGCCCGCTTCCCTTCATCCCTCTGTTTTCCATCACCATCCTCACCATCACCGCCACCTTCTTCCTCTCCCTTCATCCCTCTGTTTTCCCAATCATTCTTCTTCTTTCCCTCACCTCTTTCTTTCTTCTTTTTTTTTTCCCTCTCTCACACTCTGGAGAACCCAGATCGGGTTCTCCGAGAACCCACTTGGGTTCTGAAGGAGAACCCAGGGTGGGTTCTGCGAGAAGAACCCAATTTGGGTTCTTCAAGAGAACCCGATCTGAGCCCAGATCGAGTTCTCAAGGAGAACCCAGACTAGGTTCTCCCGTAGTTGGAGCAAAAAAAAAAAAAATTCAGATCTGATAGAACCAAATGGGATGAAATTGATGACTAGTGGTGCTTGAAATTGCCATATTAAATCAAGTATACATGCGT